GGGATTGCCTGCTGGTTTCTCTACGTCTGCGATGGCCGCAATTGGCAAGGGTCCATGAACTTCGAGCTCGACAAGTTCACCTGGAGAAAATGTTCATGAACGCTAGTATTACGAGACTTTTCTGGCTGCCGCATGGTTGCTGGGAGTTCGCGGCTGCCGGATCTTTCGATGACACTTTCTTCGGCAAGTGCGTTCTGGGGAGCCAGAGTTGCTGACTTCTCACGTGCGCGGTCGCTCTCCCACGCCGTACCTGCGTCAGTAATTGGCACCTCAATGGGCGCGCTGCTGTACCTGGTGCCGCAGTTTTGATCGACGCGGGTCGGATGCTGATTTGTAATGCTTCCCGCGCCATTTTGGACGCGTTGAGCCCAGGTCCGCTCCGAGCCGGGCGCCGCTCGCTTCGCTGCTTTTTCCTTTGCTTCGGTGCGGCCCGCCTTCGTTTGCGCGGTGTTCAACACGTCTTCGCGCGCCCGCGCACCGCAAAAATATCCCCACCAATTCATCCAGAAACAGATCGCAAGGCGAGTTGCCTTGATCAGGGAAGCGAAGAGGCATGCAGTGCAACAGCCGCCTGGGAAGCGTTTTCTCTAAGTTATTTGGGATCCATATTGGGTATCTCTTGGGGTCCTCGCGGAGTCACTTGGGGCACCCTTGGGTCCGTATTAGGGTTCTATTGGAGGGTCTAGGGGCCCTCTTGGGGCTGCTTGGGGTCTGGGAGGCCTCTTGGGGCCATCTTGGCCCCCGGGCTTCAACACGAGAGGGGTACCGGATTCAGGTCCACATTTTCGGAGGCTCAAAATGTAGCCGTGAGGCCTTCTGGAACCGTTCTTGGAACGCTATTGAGGCCCTTTGGGGGCCGTCTTGGAACCCTCTTGGGTCCCTCTTGGGACCCCCATTGGGCCATCTTGGGGCCATTTGGGGCTTCTGAGGCCCATCGGAAGCGATAGGGCGAGAAGGCAAACGTCATCATTGTTGATTTGGCGTTGGAGTTCTGTTGGCCCCTTGATAGGGGTCCTTGGAGGACTCGGTGCGCACTTGGAACCATATCGGGGGCGCATTGAGGTGTTATCGAGGCGCGTCGGAGGCTATATTGGGCAACTATGTTTTGTTATTTTGGGCACTGTTGGAAGCCATCTTTGGCTTTCTGAGGCCCTCTAGGACCCAGTTTGGTCAATTTTGGGTGTCTTGGGCGCTCTGACCGATCACGCCCCCCCTCCCAGGTCAAAGGGACCCCGCCCCCGAACAGGGGAAGGAAGGCTTTGGCAGACACGAATCTAGTTAAACCACCTTCGCCCAAAAGGTTGGTGGGAATTTGACCTCGGCGAGCCAGCTTCACGCCCCACGGCCATCGAAAACAGCTGAGATAACCCCAGGATGAGCGGGTCGAGAGGTCCAGGTGTCCGCGCCGCGAGAGGCCTTCGAGCCAGGGCCTCCGCTCCACATGCCTTTCGCCTCTGCTCTGTTGGACGTTGCCGTCGTCGGCCTCCCCCCCCCGAGTCAGTGCACGGGCCTTCGCAGAGAAGCTTCGTCCTACCACAACGCATGTGTGGATGGATTCGTCGGTCTGTGGCTAAGCCAAAGGGTCCGCCAAGTTCAACTTTGGGCATGTATGCCAACATTTGGACCAGTTCAACTTTGGGCATGTATGCCAACATTTGGACCAGGTATGTTCACTATCAGAACGGGGCGAGCTCCCTGGGAACGCGAAGCCTCACGAGCGCAGCGGCTCTGATAATTAGGCCTCGAAACAGCTGCGCTCACCTCGGGACCCCACTTGGTACCGCGCGTCGGCCAGGGTAAACCCAAACTCAGTCTTGCTGCTGGGGCCCCAGGCCCGTCTCCGTCGTCTGGCTGAGTTTTGAACTTTTCCCCCGGGCGATGCCTCCGAGGCCAGAGGTTTTACTTTTCTACCGCCTGGGGAACCCACGCCCCATGACCCCAGGTGGCAGATGGGCATACTATCGGACCCGAGGGTGTGTGTGTGTGTGTTGGGCGACATCGGTTTCCCAGGTGGTGGATGTGGCGCATTCTGGCCTCGGGCTTGAAGCGTCATGGCTTCTAGCGCTCCCGAGAACCGACCGTGACTTTCGGGTCGGACGAAAAGGGGGGACTGGGACAGCGTTCGGGATCGAAGTCAGTTGCATGCAGTAGGTTTCGCTTTCGCCGCCAAGCATTATCTTCGATAGATTGGCGTCTTCGGCGCCGGGAGGCGCCACCATCAACCAGCTGCCTGCAGCTGGTTTCCTGTTCGCCCAATATTAGCCATCCCTCCTTCGTTCTCCCCGCGATTATGTCTGCGTGCTTCGCATTCTCGGAACGCGAGCGCGGGCTGGCGGGGCGGGGCGAGGCGAGCTTGGCAGAACGGAAAAGGCTCGAGCGCTGCATGCACGGTACGATTTGCACGTTTCGATTTGTTGTTGTTGCTGCTCGCCTTGAGTTTCTGTCCTTCCGCCTCCACGTCGAGGCTACGATTATGGCGCATCATGTGCCACGTGGAGGGGTACGCGCGCTTCGCGCCCTTCGGTGCCCAGCGAGCGAACCGTGCCTCCGCTGTCACATGTTGTGCGTTGTGTGTCGCTGCAGGGCTCCTTCGCGCTTGCAAGCCCGTGTGAGTGTGTGTGTGTGCGTGTTAGTGCATGTGACACTTGCACCAGCCGCTCTCGCCCGCGGCACTGTCTCTGGCTTTACTCACCGATTGTGACCAGCGAGTCTCGGAGCGAGCGTTCGCCGGGGGAAGCACTGCGTGTGTGTGTGTGTGTGTGTGTGTGTGTGTCTCTGTGTCTCTGTGTCTCTGTGTCTCTCTGTGTGTGTCTGTCTGTCTGTCTGTCTGTCTGTCTGTCTGTCTGTCTGTCTGTCTGTCTGTCTGTATGTATGTATGTATGTATGTATGTATGTCTGTGTGTGTGAGTGTGTGTGTGTGTGTGGGGGGGGGGGGCATGTATTTGTGTGCATGCTGGCTTCTTCTCCTCGCCGTCGCTCTGTGTTTTTTCCTGTCCTGCCGCTGCTGACCCTCCTCTCCTGGGGGTCGTCCCGCCGCTTCTGGTCTCGTGCCTTGTGTGCCTTCGAGCGGCGCGCTCCGCTGGCCCATCCGTCGCTCGCAAGCACGCGTCCCTCCTACGCCGCGTGCTCCGCTCGTCCCCGCCTCCGCCCTCCTCGCGGTGTCCGTCGCCTTTCCCCCCTGCCTGTGCCTGTGCCCCGATGTCCAGCGTGTGCGGGGCTCTTAGCCTTGCCCTCCCCCCGTCCCCCCCCCTCCCTCCCTCTCCCCCTCGCTCCTCCTGGCTGGTCCGCTCACCCTGGAGCAGGACTGGCTCGAGCTGCCGAGCAGCGCGAGGTGCTGCACCTGCCCGTCTCGGCGGGGCCACTGGCCATGTTTTGGGTTCGCAGAGATCCGTTCGCTCTCCCGCTCCGACCGCCCATCTGGACTGCTGCGCATACACAGTGTGCAAGTGCGCAGGGCCAGGCCCGCCGCGTGGCACACGCCGCACCTGCTTTCTGGGTCATCGGCACTCTGGCCCTCGGCACCCTGGCAGGGCGAACGCCACACCTCCCCGCGCGCTTTGCGGTTGGCGCCGTTGATGCGTTTGCGCTGCTTGGATCGTCGGCCCCACTCCCGCTCAGCTCTCTCGGCCTCCTGGCCTCTGGACCTGCTGGCGGCCATCCGTCCGCCAGGTGGTCCTCGCTGCGGCGATTTTCCATTGTTTAGGCCTCCCAAAATAGTGTCCGAGTAGATGGGGTTGGGTCGAAGGCTCGCGCCGCACCGCCGATGCATCACCGATGCATCGGCGGTGCATGGGCGACGTCGGCGATGCATCGGCGATGTCGGCATGCAGGAAGTCAGGCTCCAAATCGAACCGCATCGGCGAAGTATCGGCGATGAGGCGCGATCCTCCGACCCCATCTTTTGCGGACCTCATTTGAGAGGCCTCTACACTGGCCCAAGTATCACTGGCTGACCACCCACAGGCTCTTCCGTCCCCTGGTCTCTTCGGCGTTTTGCCTGACCGTTCGCCTGCCAGGCTCCCTGCTGGTTTCGGCGATCTCTCGGCTCGCCGTCCAGAGATCCCCCCATTCCCTTCCTCCGCCCTCCACCCTCCCCGGCGCCGTCCAACTTGCCCTGCGCGGCCGCTCGCCTGCGAGACGCCCCCGCTATTCGCGGAGCCTTCTTGGCTTGCCGTCCAGGGCTGTCCGCTGTCCCCCGCCACACCACCCTTCCCGACGTGTCTGCTTGGGCCTCATTTTTACACCGTCGTTCAATGTTCTGCATGCGCCAGTCTTTGCTGTTCGGAGATTTGGCATTTGCTGTAATTGCTCCAGGATTTCCCAGTTTGCCACAATCTTGGCATCTTGGCAATCAGCTCAGACGGCGGCCTGTCTTCGCTGAATCGAGGTTGCTTTACCGCCGCGTCTGAGGAAAGGTGTGTGTGTGTGTGTGTGTGTGTGTGTGGGCGTGCGCGTGCTGATTTCATTGTGCTTGCGTGCGAACGTGCGCGAATGCGTGCGGCCTCTCGGTGCCTGCGACAACGACGTCGGGAGCAAGCGTGGGTATTTGCGTGTGTGTATGGCACCTGCCCACCGTAGGTCTGTGACCCTCTGCCCTATCAGGCTTCGGTCTGGGTCTCGGCCACCTGATCGCTCCACGCTGCTCACTCGCTCTCCCCGCCATTCAGTCCCTGATGGCTTATGGCACCCTCCACCACACCGCCATCCACGCCCCGATGGCTTACGGCTGCCGGCGGCTGCGGGACCCCTAAGCGGTCCTTGAGGGCTCGGGCGCTCTTAGCCGCGAGCGCGCTTGCTGCTTTTACTGTTTCTCTGCCCTGTCGCCGCGCGCAGGGCTGCGACGCCAAAACTGTGCGAGTGTGTTAGCCGCGTCGACCTCCGCGCGATTGTTCCCGTGGCCGCAAGCCAACAACTTGTGTGTGTGTGTCCTGCGCGCCCGGCTGCTGGTCTGGCCCTGCGCGCCTGGCTGCTGCTGCCCGCCGGCTGCTCATCGTCGAATTATTCGGCGTCTGAGCGTCCCTTCTTCTTCTCGGTCTCACCCCTTCTTTGCACGCCTGCCAATTCGCTAGTTAATGCCCCTACCCAGCTGTTAACTACGCTGGTGCGGATTTCGCCGCCTCGCCGCTGACGGAAAAAAAAGTGTGTATGTGTGTGTGTACGTGTGTGTGTGTGTGTGTGTGTGCGTGCGTGCGTGCGTGTGTGTGTGTGTGTGTGTGTGTGTGTGTGTGTTTGTTTGTGTGTTTGTTTGTGTGTGTGTGTGTTTGTGTGCGCGTGCGTGTGGATACCGCTGTTTGCGTTCGGCTTCGTTCCAACATACGGTGATTATGGTTCCCTGCTCACCCAGACTTTGTATTTGGTCTGCCGTCGACTGCATCGCATCGGCCCGCCGACGGAGTGCTTGTGTGTGGGTGTGTACGTGTCTCATCGACTTGCGTATGATGGCACGTTTGATTGGGTATCATCGGTCCGATGATGCGACAAATGTCAGAAAAAAAGGCTTCGCCCTCTGCCGCCAGCCTCCCCTGTGACGGCTTCCGTGGCTACTCGCGTTGGGGTGGTTCGTTTGCTGGTTTGTCGTAAATATGGCTGGCAATTTGCCTTGGCTGTTGGTTTGGGTTTGTTGCTGGCTGCCTGCTTGCGCGCATCCGTGGTGATTATTGGGTCATGTTGGTTGTGGGAGCGCGCTTCACTTGTACACACAGGATAGTTGACAGTTGTAAACTATCCAGGTTTGCGGGTTCGGGGCCGCACAGACTTTGCAGTTGTCATGGGCTCGTAGCCGGGTGCAGGCGGCATTTTCAGGAGCGGAAGTTACCCAGAGGGGAGGGGAGGGGGGGCGAACAACGCCCTTCAAAGCCCATATCCCAATTCAGGAAGTGGCAGCCCCCTTGAGGTGGGTTCGCGGCGTCGGGAGCGCGATATCACCCAGTAAGTTTAATTGAATATCGGCCTCAGGAGCCTGAGCGTGTAGTAATTTGCAAAGAGTGTTTCGTTGGGAACGCGGCAGTGTTTTATTTTAACATAGGTTCTGGATTCGAAATTGCGACCGCACCGCTCGCCATCATGTTTCTTATCATTATCCTTCTCCTCCTTCTCTTGTTCTTCATTCCTTCGTTGTCCTTTTTCCCCCGCCATCCTCCTCTCTCCAGTCTCCTTTTTCTTTCACCTCCCCTTCCCCTCCTCATCCTCATTCTCCCTCGCCCGTCCTTTTTGTGATTCAAGCTCACTCCCGAAGGGTTTTGCGTTGCATCCCTTGCCCACCTCTGCCGTTTTATTTGGAACTAGGGCCCTTGGCCTTAGAGTTACGCCCGTCGCGAGGCCGCGAGTAATAACATCCATCGACAATCTTCCATATCACAGTGGCAGCTTGGAGCGAGTCTCAGCTGCCCGGCGCCGCGCGCCATTCATATCCTGGCGCTGCGCGCCATCCTCTTGTGCAGCCACGACGAAGCCGTCGCGACCCACGGAGTCGAAGCCCGCCGGCTTCCTGCTCGCGTTGTTGCTCAGCGCGTACATCAGCGTCAGCGACGCTATCAACGCCGACTTCTCCGACAGCGTCAGCGACGCCGTCACCAACGCTTACTTCCCGTACGTCAGCGTCAACGACGCCGACATAAACGCCTACTTTTCTCACGATAGCGTCAACGAGGCTGTCATCAATCACTATTTCGCTTATTTCTCCCAGGCCAGCGTCAGCGACGCGAGCATCAACGCACATTTCTCCTACGCTAGCGTCAGCGACGCATGCGACGCCTACTTCTCCTGCGTCAGCGTCAGCGACGCCAGCATCAACGTCTACTTCTCCAACGCCAGCGTCAGCGACGCCAGCATCAACAGTTACTTCTCCGACAGCGGCGTCAGCGACGCCAGCTACTTCTCCTTCCTTCTCGACATGATGACGGATAATTCTGCCCACGACCACGACCCGGCAATGTGGATATATTACAAACATGAGGTCAAGTTCTGGAAGCTCAGTGAAACCTCGCCGTGGCCCACAGCCTCGCATCGAAGCTCGTGCTGAAGCTAAGTGGGTGTGCTCGTGGTGCAGCATTGAATATGACTGAAGCTCAGCTGCACCTAGTAGCCGCGGCGGACATTGAAGACCCCGATGACAAGAAGCGCAATAGGAACCAGTCGGCATCGATAACGTGCTACAGCACTTGGAGGCCAGTTTGGGTCAACAGAAGCCTGTGCAGAAGGGCGAGGCCCTCGAGAGGTTCTTCGAGTCGACTCAACATCACCGACGAAGAGGTGAACGCATGACGGACTGGCTCATCCGAGTCGAGACTGGACGACAGCAGCTACGCGAGAATGAGGTGGATCTCAACGCGCTGGACGACGTGGCGGGATGGTTCCAGCTGCGCAAGGCTGGGCTCACGGCAGAGCGCCGAGAGCGCGTCGTGGGCAACCTGCCCGACGAGCACTACGGCTGCCAGCGCGTCCGCGGGCTGCTGGTCAGGATGTTCCCGGATATGCATGCGTAGGAGCGCCGCGCCCCCC